CTGACACCCATTGGTGAGCTCTGAGATGATTGCCCGCCTAAATCCTCAGCTACGTGCTCATTCTTGCTCTCTTTCTCTTTGTAGTTTGCTATAGGGTGCATGTGGTCACTGGATAGACAGAGAAAAAAAGAAATCACTCCCTAGGCTGGATGTCCACGCTGCAGTCCCTTCTCCATTCTCCTCTTGGGATTTTGGGCGCACATACACGTGTGCTATGCCTGGTGTGTTTCTCAAGCTGCTGGGTCTGGGACTCGAACCTCTCAGTTGGCCATGTGAAATTGAGCACCTTAACCACCATGCCTCAGGCTGGCACCAGGGTGCTCATTCTCTTAAGTCTCTGGGGAAGGGAAGAGGATGGTTCTTTCTAGTAGGAGCGCAGGTTCAGAGACTCTGGGTTCCACTGATGTCTTAGCCCACTCTCTCTCTTAAAGTTTATTTATTCCTTTCTTCTGAGAGAGAGAGAGGGGCCCCCCAACAGGGCTCCATGCCACAGCCTACCCTCTGTCTCAGCCTGCCTACATCACAACATGTGAGTGCCCCAATGTGCTCAGGAACGTTCCGAGATTCAAACCCAGAACGTTCCCCCTCTGGGTCCAGTGGCATTACTGCTGCATGACTGCCTGCCCACCCCCCGCCCTTTTACCCCTAACAAAATAGTAGAAATTCCAAGAACTGGGAACTCAGAAGACAAATGAAAATTTTATTTTTTTTTGTGGTCTGGGAAAATTCATAGAAAAGGAAGATACATGGGACTAGCAGTTAGCATAATGACTATGTCGCTGGACTCCCACATAGTCGACCACGGTTCAAGTCCAGGACCCAGTGGCTTAAACTCAGGCCGGGCGCGTGTGCGTGCGTGCCCAAGATCCCAAGAGGAGAAAGGAGGAGGAGGGATTGCGGCATGGCCATACCCCCCGGGGGGTGATTTCTCGCTTTCTGTCTCTCTGTCTCTATAGCAAAAACCTCTCCAAAAAAAAAAAAGGAAAGAAACTTCTAGTATAGTAGACAGTGCAACCTCATGGAGGCCCTTCTAGGATCAACTCTTGCCATTAGAACAAAGGAAAATTAACTGGCCTCATTAGCTTGTACCTGTGGTACCAGCTTAGAATTACCTATTATAATCAAAGCAACCAGATAAATTCATCATGGACTGGACTCTTCCCTGTAACTTCAGTAGAAGTGATCAGAAACCTAAGGCAAGGCTCTTCAAGTTCATCCTCCCAGAAATCCCCATCATTAGAGACATTCAGAGTGGAGAGCAACAATGTGTACCCCCTGGGAGGAGACCATATTCTCCTTCTCCAAGTTCAGATCCCAGTATCTTCCAGGAAACCTTTCCCTCAAAAAAAAAAAAAAAAAAAAAAAGAAAAGGAAGATACATAGAAAAGATTCAAAAGGAAAAATTCACAGAAAGGTCTAGAAAAGGAAAATGTTCAATAAACCACAAATACAAAAAGTCAGGCAGTTTCTGCAGTTGCTGAGGGTAGCTATGGGATGCTTACCTCCTGTGGGAAAAGGGGGCTTTTAAGAGGTAAAGAAACTCTCCTTCAGTGAGGCCAAGACGGTAAAAGGCTGTGACAGAGAGGGAGAATGCTAATTGGAAAAACTTGTAAGCAAGGTTTTCATTGAACAAGGGTTTGAATGCATGCATGCATGAAATGCCTTCAGAAGTAAGGATTGGTGATACTGAAATTCATGGCTCTCCTTCAGGTTGTCAGGTTAATGCATTCAGAGCGGCAGCATGCGGCTGTACCGCCAGGGGGCAGCAGAGCCCCACTGAGGAAATCAGGATGGCAAAGCAGCTTCCCGTTGGATGTCTGTCCTCTCCAAATAATAAAATGAGGAGTAGGAAGGCCCCTGGGGGAGTGTGTGTGTTGGGGGGATATCTTCCACCCAATTTTTTAGCATGTAAATTTACATACACAAAATTAGGGAGGTATAGAAGAGGTGTCTTTGTCGTGCAAGGCATGTAAAATTTGCACACATCAGTCTTCTGTTTTTTCACTTTATTTACTTGTTTATTATTTATTTACTCTTTAAATTTATTTATTTTTTACATTAGTTCACTATACATCATTACAGCATACAAATGAATTTTCCATCCAAAATACACTGTATATTGGCTCAATCAAGCACATCAACATACATGTGATCAGCAAATAATTTTCCAATTGTATACTTTGTTTTTTGTTTTGCCATCCTTGATTCCCTATCCCTCACCCTCTGCCATGTCCTACCCTCCTCCCACATTGTCTCTGGTATCCACGGTTGCTTTCTATGCCTTCCCCTCCCCCCATTTAATTGATTTGCTAATGAACTTAATTAGTCTAAATATATCCAATAGCTAGCACAGCTGATGTATACCTATACATGAACCCAAGTCTGACTTTAGGCATAAACCTCAGTGAGTAGAATGAACATACTATAAAGTAGTACCTAG